TTTCTCTCTCTCTCTCTCTCTCTCTCTCTCTCTCTCTCTCTCTCTCTCTCTCTCTCTCTCTCTCTCTCTCACACACACACACACACACACACACATGTACACACATATGTTATGACTTCTTTCATGAGTTTTAGCCCCAAAACACTGCATTCAAGTTATCCACATCAGGAATACCCAGTTTCTCTATACACTGGCTGTACTATTCCAGTTTCCTTGCCCAGACATTGTGTAATAAGTTTGACCACTTTGCGGAGTCTCTGCTACCCAGCCTCATCAACCTCATCCCCAACAGTGTGAAGATCATGGCCACCTCTGGCATCACTGCCATCAAATTCATCATTCAGGTAATATAAGAGATCATGACTTCACATCTTTCACATCTTTTCAGAAGTGTTGAATTTTAGCCCCTATCCCTATGATATAGCTTTGTGCCTTATATGTTTTTTGTGATTTTTTACAAGGTCTGTTTTCATCTCTGAAAATAGTATTAACAGCATTTTATTAAGCTCAAACAAGACCATTGATAGTTCTTTATACTACTTGAAAATAGAATACAAATCATAAAAAGACACTAAAAAGAAAAAAAACATATTTTTCATTCATTCTCAGATATTCCAAGAACAATGCTTGTTGTATATTTGCTTTAAATCATTTATTTATTTTAAATTATTTATCATATATTTATTTGTATGGTTTTTTATAATATTTTATCGTAAATTTTATTTGTTTATCTCAGTATACTCATGCCAACCGACTCATCCCTATCATCACTGCCAACATGACATCTAAGTCCAGCACCATTAGGAGGTAAGAACTGGGCCAGCTCAGACCAGACTGGGTCTCTGATCAACTTCAAACTTTTACTTCACCTCCATCTTTTTTTGTTAAAGTCATATTTGATGATAACACATCATGTTGCAAAATACTGTGTTCTACATATCCTAGAATTTATGTAGCATAATGCAGTTGTACATTGAATAGTTTATGTATTGTCTATTTTGTTATTGATATTTTGTCTGTCTGTTTTAATAAACTGAAATTATATGGTATACTTTTGTATGATCTTTCTAGGTATTGTTGTGAATTCCTGGAACAAATGCTACGAACCTGGCCAACACACACATTAGAAAAACACATTGCAATATTACAAGACGCCATCAAGAGAGGGATAGGGGATGCCGATGCTGATGCCAGGGTCTATTCTAGAAAGTAAGTCACCAAAAGCAACTAAGTAAACTGAAAATTTCTGGTGCACCTTATAAGAGTATTTTCTCTCTCTTGAAAGGTTTTGCCATAAAGCAATGCCCTAAAGGTGGGATTTTTTCTTTTGAAAAAATTTTGCCATAATACTATACCCTTCAGATGATGTTTTTCTCACTTAATTTGTTATTTTACTATACAAAAATTATTAATCAAATTTCAGGGCATTTTGGGGCTTTTCGGACCACTTCAGTGAACAGGCCAATGCCCTGTTGAACACTCTAGACCCTAGTAAACAGAAATTGCTGCAAGGTGAACTAAGCAACTCTTCCAGCAGTAATTCTCTGAACAGTGGTGGAGTCAGCAAGGTCGGGAGGCCCAGAACAACAGATGGTAGTTATTACAGGTAATTGATTTAAACTGGTATTGTTATCTACAGAAAATTCATACAGTGTTATTTATTTGTTTATGCAGGGATGAGATTTTTCTGACTGTCTGTCGGTGGGTTTGTGACTTTTTGGGAGCCAAAAATATCATTGGCTTAGGTGACCCTCAAGATGAACCCCATTTTCTGACTTAACTAAATAGCAGTTTCATCCCTGTTTACGGATTTGTTTGTTTTCAGGGTTTCAGTTAGGGGAATATGTTTTAGCAGGGAATTTTTTTTTTCTAGGATAAACAAGTTACATTGCCATGGAGGCATTTGTACCAGAAGAACTGCTACAACTTATCAAGATTCATATAATTTTTGTTGAATTACAGTTATCACAGTGAAGGGAGATAAAAATCTTTTTTTTTTTTTTTTCATCAATTGTGATAATTTTATTACGTAAATGCATTCTTATATCTAGACCATCACTTCCTATTACCCTGAGGATCAAGCTTAGTGGTACCCTGTCTCCCCAAGGGTGGAGGAATTCACACATGTATACCCCTTAGTTTATGGTGTATTAATGATTCTTAATATGTTGGTGTACTGTAGTAACGTATTATGATATTTTTCTTTATGGTGTATTCTAAGTTCTCTTAGTTTAAATGTTTAGTTGGTATTTTAGAGGAAGTATTTTGGTGTTGATAAGCTTGACCACCTGTTGCAGTAACCAGTGTTTCTTTAAAATGGCATTTGTTGGTCAGTTGAAATAATATGAAAATGTATTGACTGAGACAAAAGATTGTAAAGAAACTAATCAATTTTTGCCTACAAAAATTTTATATACTTCATTTGTGCTTATAAATCTCTTTTTGTTTGACATTTTTTATAGTAATATCCTTTTTTGTTGAGTCCAACGCTTTCAATCAGTGAGAAATACTATTGTTAGTGTTATTGATTTTATGAGCAAATGGGTGGTCAGGGTGTCAATTTTAGTAGAAATAAATTTTAGATGGTCTACTATGTTGTCCTTCAATGTTGTCACCCTTGCTTATGTAATTTCTAGCTCAGGTTGTCAGACTTTACCGTTACCAAAGCGTAAAGCTAGGTCGCGGTCTCCGAGTGCCGGGAGATACGGGACAGTGGGGCGCTCGCCAAGTGCGGGCCGCACCCCTGGTGCCGTTGGGTAAGATGATGACTGGTAGTAGCTTGGCTCTGACTAACCCGCATGCCTTCGGTGGACTTAAATAGCAGCATATTTCTATATGAATTGTATTTGTGTGTACTACTCTGCATTATGAGGGTGATGTATATGTCATTGGATTGTGATGTGACTTGAAATGGTTGCTTGTTTTGTGATGTCCCAAGACAAGCTTGGGGCTCAAACTTTCTTGCAACATGCACTCCTGACTTCTACAGGTTTAAGTGATACTCACAAAGATTTGCAGCTTTCATTTCAGAAGATGAAAATTTTATTTCCAAAGTGAAAATTCCATATGCAAGTGTACATTTTCCAAAGTCTTTTGAACCAGGATTTTTTTTCTAAATCTTTATGAATATCAGTTACACAAGCTTCAATTCAGCTCTGTGTCTTTGAAGTGAAAAGAAAAAAGAAACCCAGTTTTGGTGTATTTGATTAGCTTTAAAGCAGACAGGATAGCTACATAGAGATATAGTGCAGTCCCTGCATGTTATGTGGACACCAAGCAGCCTTGCTTTAAAAACAAAGGGTTTCTTGCTCTTGTGGTTCAGCTTTAGCAGTTATGAAACTTGGAATACACTTGAAAAAATACAGACTTGACATTTAATATGGAATATTTTTTCCAAAACACAATTCATCAATTCTTTTCCTATTTTGCTGACTGATAAATGAAAATAAGGTTAAAATCGTGTTTTAATAACTTATGATAATCTCTTCGATGTCATTGTGACATCAGTTCATTAATTGAATTCGTCAGTGAAGGAAACAAAAATACATTGCCTATTTTAAGTCATACGACAACCATTGAGAGCGATATTTTGGATCTGCATATTTTCCTAATTATTGTCTTTAAAAGAGTTACACGCCCCACACAGGCCCCCCATGTCAGTGTCTAGTCACAGCAACAGTCGCTGTTACGCTTGACCTCATCTTGCTGCTACCAGAGCTTTCAAGCCGCAAGGCATTTCTTATGATAGGCTTTTTAGAGTTTAATCTGGAATAAAATTCCAGAATACGGTTAAAACTTGTCCAATCTGGCTCAGTTTTGATGTAGGACATGCAGGCCGTTGATTCGGCGAGTAATAACCTACCCACATATTGTCTATGTGGTTCAAATATGGCGACTTTGATGACCAAGGTAGCTACTCATTCCCTTGGTTCTGTAAGTTATCTGCTATTTAATGTGCTCTGTGTGAACCGGCAACCTCACCCTGGAACCTAAAATTGTTCCTAAGGTGCCCCCTATCAAATAATAGTCAAGTGGTTCCCAGATTATTCCTTTATTTGATCTGGTTCAGGTTTTCATCGATGACTACCATTGGTGTTTTGGCACCAATGTGGTATCCACTCCAAATACTGACACTGTCAATGACCCTAGTCACTTAAGAAGTGGCACACGTTTCGTCGAAGGCCTCTTCAGAATGTCTGTAAACTCTGTTTTGACCAGTTTAGCGGTACAGGTGAAATCTGACCTCAATAAAGAAAGCCACGCGGTTTCAGTGTTTTACCCAGAAACTGTCATGGTCCCCAATTCATTAGAGAAACAGACCAGGCTGCTTTGCTTTTTACAGTGTCTTCCTCAGAGGTCGCCTGGAATCCTAACCTGCTGAAATCAGTTTGGTGTTCGCTAAGAGCCTTGAAAAACAAGTTTTGGTGACAATTTGTTCCTCATTCAAAACGGACTGGGTGGTTTTGGTTTAATTGCAGCAGCATATCCTGAAGGACAGTGAGTCCTATACGCTGGTGGTAAGACGTCGATGCATTGGGCTTGGTCTCTGTGTAGTGCCTCAAATTGAACATAACTCTATAAAACTGTGTAGACCGTTCCGTTTGACACAATAATCTGTCTGGCAATGTCTGTGTTTTTCGCGCCATTCTGGCACAGCTTAACAGTTTTGTAAAACGCTGCTTAACTCATTTTACGCACTGCAAAACCGACTGCTGGCATGCAAAATTTCAAATTCTTCTATGCAGTATTTGCCGACATATGGATACTTTTTTGATAGAACCATCCTTCGCCAAAGCCAAGCTTTGACTAGCCCAAAGGAACACTGACCAATTAAATTACTGCATATTACACAAGGCAGCAGTGCAACAGACTTGGTAGTCAGTTAATTGGCAGCGACACACCTGACTTTACACTTCTCCAGTCAGATGTCTTATATGAAATCTTAATTTCTTTTTAAAAGAACGCATTTTTACCTAGGTATACCTTCAAAACTGAAATATTCCATATTAAATGTCAAGTCTGTATGCATGTGGGGAGAAGGGGGGGAGGGGCAGCCTGTGTATTTCATGATGATATTGCATCAAAGAGGGAATTTTGAACATAATATTACTCCAGTTGTGAAAGTTACCTATTTCAGTGCTGTAAAAGTGTGCTCCAAGTTTTAGATATGTTGCAGAACGTACCTAGGCATACTGGAGTCCTAGAAATCAGAGACTGCAGCATCGATAACATGAAGGGCAAACTCTTACTAAGAGTGCCATAACATACAGGAGAACTATGAAAGTGTAATTGTCCCAGGCACAGCTATTTCCTTCTGCTCTTTAGTACACCCATTTCTTCTGGTGTTGAGGCTCCTTTGAAAAGCTCTTCTCTTTCTTTGATGATGTTTTTTTCCTGAAAGCACACAATTTTCCATTAATACTCCACAGTGGATCAAATTTCTTACTTTTTTCTTACAGCTGATATAATATGATACACAGGAATTGCTGTATAACTTAAACTGCACATTTGCTCAGAAATGTACGGCTTTATTACTAGGTTAAGAAATTACTAGGAAGAAGGTACTTAAAATTGCTCAACTTCTGCATATATAGCAAGCTATATTTGATCTCTTTCTAAAATGTATTATATACATCTTAAGGTTCAAATTATCCAATGTAACAAACTCTAACCATTATTTCAGGGTAAACAAGTCATTTATGCATCCGTAGCAAAAAATGATAAAAAACAAATAAAAGCATGCTGATAATATTTGTATTTATAGTGTTGAGTGTGAGATATTCACCTGAACTTCCAGTATATATACTAAAATTGCATCAATGCATGCCTATCTATGAATAATTAATTGGCACAGTCTTCCTCCTATGTGAGGAGATAGCTGGATGATAGAAGATAAGAAAAGCTAGTGAATGTCACCTACCCCAGATTGTCTCCCCTAATTGAAATGCCACTTGCAGACTTGATTTACAGAGTTGTTGAAACTTTTTCTTGCTCCCCATTGCTTTCATGGTTAAATAGAATGGAAACAAGTTATATGAAACAAGAAATAAGTAATGAACAGATTTTTTGTGTTATGTCTGTCGCAGACGAAACATGGTATTGACCTTTTACAGAATATTTTATTTTAACATTCATGTTTAATATTTATTTTTGGTGAAGTTTTGCAAGAGAAATACATGACTAACTGTACTACTCTTCCTCTACAGATCTATTAGTCTTATATGTGTAAATTGTATCCATTTAAAGTAACATGATTGAGTAATAATATGTTTCATAATCTTTCAGTGGTGCCAAACGATCAGTCACTCCAAGCGTCACAAGTCCACGCAGCGACACAACAGGTTGGTAGATGGCGCTACGAGCACTAGTGTGTGGTTGGCATGAACATTTCCGCAGGCTGCCTCAGTCCACACTAATAGAATGACTTAAAATGAAGTCTCATATTAGTCACTGAGTGTATAGGCAAATGTTTAGGACAATATTTGATTAACTGTAGATAGTCTATACTACAAGAGTTTCTTAGAGCTACAACTTCTTTTTCTGTAACGAACATTTACCTTTACCTTTTGAAAGAGTAGTTATCTTAACCAACCTATAATGATTATACTTTATAATCTAAGCCATCAGTTTTAAGTATTATTGGGTTTGTCTAACCAGAAATCGAGTAACTTCTATGTAACTCAGATGAAATCATAACCAGTTTTAATGCATGAGTATTTTAGTTTATTTACTTATATAATTTGAGGGGAAAAAATACGCTTTTCCTATCTCCTAACCAATTAACCACAAGGTATTAAAAGAACAACTCATTGGTTGGTTTTGACCTTTGACCCCCTAGCACTGACCAATAGATGCCCTGATAACTAATCTCTCTTGTTCAATCTATCATCTTTTGTTCTTTATCCCCGGATCAGATGGCACCCTGGGTGCAGATAGCGGTGGAGGGATAGTGCGCTCCAGTAGCGCAGTTGACCTTGCTGGCAGCTCGGGAAAACCCCGCAGCTCTATCGCCAGACTGACTACTACCAGTAACCCTAGCTCACTGCGTGAGTATAGCCATGCAGAATATTGTAGTAATTTTTTTTTTTTTTTTTTTTTTTTTTTTTGAANATTGACCAACACTGACCATACTAAGTGTTAACTCAAGGACCAGGATAGACCTCAAGGTCCAGATAGACTAAGTTCATTGACCTTTCAAGGTCAATGGTGAATGAGGCAAAGGATCGCGTTCACTGCACCAAGGCGAAGTTAACTGCAAGCTTAAGTGCGCAAAAAAGAATGCGCGAACACTTTTCTTTACCATCCAGCTTCAGTGAAAAAAAGATATAAAATTATTAAATATTTGAAAAAATATTTTAAAATAAAATAAATAAAAGACAAAAAAAGAAGATACATTGAAATATAAAACCCAAGAGACCAAAAAAAAAAATGATTTTAGAGATTATGTGCAACTTGTTTGCACGTCATGTTTATCATCAATTTATAAAAAGAAGTTTAGAAAAGGAGAATGACAAATCATTCTGCTTGGAAAGAAATTTGGATCGGTGACACTGCCAGTGATACGATTTGGAATTTCAACTTTCATCTACATGACGTTAAGATGTCAAAAGAAATCCCTGCAGGTAGAGGCATGGTATTGTAATACACATGCCTAAGACACATATATGTGTAAATTCGTCACGAGGATCATTAAAGCAAATTCGTAATGCTGTAAATGTCGCATTAAAGGTAAAAATAAAAGCCATTTAGCAACACGTCCGTTTAATGTGTTGCTTTCTTAGTGCGGGTCAAATATACCCTTAAAATAGTTCTACTGCAGTATAAAGTGATCATCATCTTAGCAGAGGAGGAAATGCACGCAGGAGTAGGGGGAAGAACAAAAATGATTCGCACAAGAGGTATTAAAACTTTCTACGTTCGGGAAAGACGCCAGTTGCTGCGGAGATGTTGCCGGACAGGCTGCACGCTGCAGTCCCGCCTTTTTGTGCTAATAGTGGTAGCAGCGGTTTGCTACATTGGTGTATATATGTCACTGCAGAGACCTGGGGGACAAAAGAGGAAGGTTGTAAACAGACATGTGACGTCATACCACAGACACGTGGACACAATGGCGTGGGCCAAGCCCAATGTGACGACAGAAATGTATGTGCTGTCTGCATATTATGACGACAGACCAACACTCGACCCCAGGGCAAGACCAGTTGTTCGTATAATTACCATAGCAGACAAGGAACAAATAGAAGGCAGAGGACAAAAGAAAATGATGTGTGTGATTTGGGTTGGCAACTCCAAATGGACGCCTATCAGAATGACCTACTCTCCCACAGGGTCGGGAGGATGGTACTTTCGGGAGTATATTTTCGTCTGCGACCTTGGAAAATTATCCTCGGCGATTAAACCGCGTTTTCTATCTATAATTGACGAATCTCCTGACAATGTGTACCCTAATGTAAAGAGTTTGTACAAGATACCAATCAAATACCCGCACAGACCTAAGAAGCAGCTAGAGTTTGGTGCTTGTATTGGATTAACGTATGGTACCATTGATCCCCTTCGCCTGGTGGAATGGGTAGAACTCAACAGAATCTGGGGGGTGGAGGAGATCAATATTTACGGCAGCATTGTGAATGAAACTTCACAAAAAGTCTTCATGCATTATCACAACCAGAATGTTTTGATATATAACAATGTTTTCCGGATTTTTAATGAAACCGAGGAGTTTATGTTGCAGTTAATGTCGGCGCCAACTCTGAATGACTGCATGTACAAAAACATGTACCGCTATAAACACATTGTGGTGATTGATCTAGATGAGGTGATTGTTCCACGGGGAAATCTTACCAGTTATATCCAGCTATTAGATGCAATTGACACTGCCATTAAGAGGAAACACCGACATCGAACGTATCACTTTAGTAACGTGTACTTTTTTTCCGAGCTTCCGCAGGACAATTCAATGCCGAGTCATCTCACGACGCTGCGTCAGGTAGGACGCCTGAGGCTTCCCTCTCTGCAGGGGGTGTCCACAAAAACCATCATAGACCCTTTAACCTGTACTAATTTACACAATCACTATTGTTGGAAACTGACAGAACTAGGCGATGCGGAAACGGAGTCCCTCCACGTACCGAAAGATTTTGCACTCAACCAACATTACAAAAAATGTCATTTTGATAAAGTTTTGACTGTTTACCGTTCTCTGAAGCCGTGTAAAGAGGCACTGAGGGATTACGCTATAGATACAAGTGTTCACAGGTTTAAGGACGTGCTGATATCTCGCGTGCAGAAGGAGCTAAATACACTGGGAATACGAACGCTTTAACAAACAGCTTGAAAACAAAACGTTTTTTTTCTTTTGTAGCTTTTGGAATGGTTTGGCTACGTTAAAAAAACACAGGCCTATCTCTTTATTTGGTCTCTTACGTCTTCATCATGACTGTTTTTAGATGAAATGACCTGCCAAATACGTCGGCCAGCTCGATGTGAATTTTTAGAGGACCCTCCCTTCTTTTCGAGATGGACCCCCTTTTTATTAATACTTCAGACTCAAAATATTGTTTCTTTTCTACATGTCTAACCCAACAACTGAATGGTTATTTTCGACAAATGCTATATATTGAAATTGTTATAACTGAAATAAATAAATATGCCGCAAATTAATACTACAAGAAAACCTTTCTTTTTAAGTTTTGGAAATTATCTCTAGAGTCGGAGTCCAAAGAGGACTTGCTAACTATTTTAGTCCGCCACAGAAGAGCGGCCAGTTGACGAACACTTTAGACATTGCCCGCAATCTGAGAAGCTGATTTTCTTAAAGGAACGGCAAGCCTGTTTCTATATGTAACACTCACACGGTGTTATCTACCACGTATACATCGAACTGTTATATCGACCGATTTTATTTGATATTTACACTATGAAACCTTCTCCCATACACACTATCAACAATCTGTCAATAAGATCTAAGAAGATTATCAGGGCGTTCTAGACTCCTATCTTTTTATGAATGCATAACTTTTAGGCAACCCACATTTTACAAAAAGGATTTCCTCCGATTATTTGAACACACATGTAAAAAATAAACGGAGCGAAAATTCACTGATTAGTCTTTTTAGACCGCATTTCAGAATTATTTTATGGTTGTGATACTTGTGCGATAAAAATTGCAGTTTATGATCATTTTATGATATCACTATCTCGAAAATCAAATTGCGCTGTAAAGGAAGAAAAGGAAACTGTGCGAATGTAAATTAATGATTCCTTAGCTCGACAAAACCTCGTAGGTCCCTTAACATAGGATGGAGGTTATTTAAAAATTAAATGAACGAGAGACTCGAACACGTCGTTAAATATGCTGATTTTGCTGGTTATGCGACGCGAGGGTTAAAATAAAAAGAGACCCTATCTCGGTCAGACGGTCCACGTACATACAGCATTCAGCATGGAGGGATGTCACCACCGCTGTGTACCTGTGTTGGGACGTTCAGGATGTTAATTATTTCCTAAGTTCCTGCTTAGAAGAAGACTGAGAACCGAATGCCGCTGAAGATGTTGGTAAGCGGGAGTGATGAGAGTTGTAGAGGCCTAATTCATATCTATCGTATACTGTGATTGGAAGAGCAGATGTCTGTTTTTTATTATTGTTATTATTTTGGTGGGGTGTACGTGTTCATGTGTGGGTGTGTGTCAGGTGTACTATATTTATACCATACCATACATTTCAATAGCATATCATCCAGGTATGCAATATTATCATCATCATGTGCCCTGCTCTAATAGCGTTGTTGATCAACCCCCCCCCCCCCCCGCCCGTGTATGTGTGTATGTGTGTGTGTGTGTGTGTGTGTGTGCGTGTGCGCACGTACATGCGATTGTTTACTCATCAGAGTGACTTTTAGGGTATAATACAGCAGATAGAGTTACCTTCCCATTATATAAATCTATTCATGTTTTTATCCCCATTAATTCTATCCAGGTGGTTAATTCAGCACGTAGACCTTGAAATGGCGGTCGAATATATATACAAAAAATAGTCTAGTGAGATTTTTGAAAAAAGGCTCTGCATAAGAGGCAAGGGGCATTTTGGGGTAAAAGTTGGGAACCAGGCTTAATAGCATAATTTTGGGATGCTGAATCCGATTTACCCGGTTCCCAAGCGAAATTTTGCGTTTTTAATGGTCTAATTTGCAAAAAAACAAAATGGCCGCCAGATTTCCTATTTTCTGCAATATCTCTGGAACTAGACAGGCAAATATTACAAATGAAGTGTCTTTACCTATATTTTCAGGGTCGAGGAACATTATTAAGATGTTTCTGTTAGAATTAGATTTACAAAATTTTCCAAAATATGCAAATTAGGATCGCCATTACTGAAAAACCGTTTTACTTCTGTATCTCTGTAACTAGGCAAGCAAACATGACAAATGAAGTGTCTACACCTATGTTCTCAGGGTCAGGGAATGTGATAAACCAGGTTTCTTGTCTGATGGGTAGCACTGACTTTGTGAATCATGTCCGAGTAGCACATTTTATTGTTTTGTTCCCTGTATCTGTCAAACACTAGTCAATCTGCTGATAGTTAGAACCTGCCTCNTAATATATGGGAAAAAAAGAAAATATGTTTGAAAAAATCCATTTTAAATGTGAGGTCTGTACATTGCATCACATGAATTACATGATTGGGCAAATCCCTCCATTGCATTAATAAGGTAATATTTTTTAAATCTAGGTAAAAGGGGCAGTTGTGTGATCCAATGTGTTTACATCCCAATGGCAGTGCAGTATTTAATTACAAAATTCAATTCAGATTCGAATAATTGCTACAGTGTGACAGTGTAGCACTCATTGCTGATTTGATTATAGTGAAAATGTCTTAATCACTTTCCCTAATGCTAAAAACATGGGTGTGGGCACTTAATATGTCATGTTTGCTTGCCTAGTTAACGCAAAAGCAGTTCTGAAGGCAGGTTCTAACTATCAGCAGATTGACTTGTGTTTGACAGATAGAGGGGAGAAACAATAAAAGGTGCTTCTCGGACACGATTCACAAAGTCAGTGCTACCCAAAAGACAAGACATCTGATTTATCACATTCCCTGACCCTGATAACATAGGTGTAGACACTTCATTTGCTTGCCTAGTTACAGAGATACAGAAGTAAAATGGTTTTTCAATAATGGCGATCCTAATTTGCATATTTTGGAAAATTTTGTAAATCTAATTCTAACAGAAACATCTTAATAATGTTCCTCGACCCTGAAAATATAGGTAAAGACACTTCATTTGTAATATTTGCCTGTCTAGTTCCAGAGATATTGCAGAAAATAGGAAATCTGGCGGCCATTTTGTTTTTTTGCAAATAAGACCGTTAAAAACGCAAAATTTCGCTTGGGAACCGGGTAAATCGGATTCAGCATCCCAAAATTATGCCAATAAGCCTGGTTCCCAACTTTTACCCCAAAATGCCCCTACCATTCATCTTTTGTGGAAATCCCACTAGACTAAAACGAACAAGACAAAAAACGAACAAGGTTAATCTGTTCTCTCCATTATGATTTACATAAGTCCGTACAGCTGTTTCGGCCCGGAGGCCTCGTCAGGGGCGTAAACAGTTTGCTGAACAACGAAATTGCGCGCAGTAGACACAGTTAGATATATACATATAAAAACATCATATGAAACATTATGCCTAGACGGCACATTATGGTGGTCTGGTCTTCTGAATTATCTATAACTTTAACATCATGCGTGGATAACACAGAAGTTTCCTGGTATGGGCTTCTATATAGAACCGGCTCTCTCTCCCTCTCTCTCTCTCCCTCTCTTATACAGAATTGGCATTTAATATGGGGCATTTCCATTAAAAAGGTATATATAGGTAAAAAAATATTGTTTTTTCTAAAACTTACAACTCATATGAGATATGTAAAAACAGAATTGTGACGTCAGATGTGGTGGTACCAGTTTACCGACAACTTTGCTTAAGGGTTGTTTTATGACTTTAAATCAGCCATGTATTTTTGTAATGCTTCATTAATGAATTTAATTAAAGGCAAGCGGTCACAAATACTATATTTGTTTTCATTACTTAGAAAAATTAAATTAAATCGAAATTAATTGATTAAAAAAAATCCCATATCAAATTTCAACACCGTATTATTATATCCCCGTATCCAGACTTCGCTCCCTTCTGAACAAATCTTTAGTTTCCTCAGTTTTATATATGTCCGTTTTACCTACATCTGTTTGTTCATGAATATTTTCAGTTCGCCTTCATTCAGCCCAAATTCATAGCTGCAATGGTGCTCTCGGGGTTGGTCACTGTGGTGGTACTATACCTGTCCATACTTGACGACACACACCTTAACACTCACCTGACACAAAACACCCGGACACGTCCTGTTAAGACCATGTTCTGGTACAAACCAAACATAACGACAGAGATGTATCTCCTCTCCGCCTACTATGACGATAGACCGACCATAGACCCCATGACAAGACCGGCCATTCGTATCATCGGTATGGCGCACAAAGATGAAGTGGACAAAGAGAAACTGTCCTGTTTAGTCACCTACGAAGGGCGGGAAACTCCCGTCTTGCAGGCAATCACGCCGACTGACATCGGCATAGGAGGCTGGCGACACGGGAAATTCTTTCGGGAGTATATATTTGTGTGTGGATCTTTGAGAGTCAAGGATAAGAACGCGACATTCGTCTCCGTGGTGGACCAGACGTATCTGACCCAAACGAATTGGGAATCTCATGAACAGGTGCGTGTACCTGTACGATATCCAAGAAGAGAGGAAACAATGGACTTTGGGTGCTGTGTCAGTTTGGCTTACTGGAAGTTTGATCCCTATAGACTAGTGGAGTGGGTGGAGCTGCACAGGCTCTGGGGAGTAAAGGAGATCAACATTTACGGCAGCATGGTGGAGGACACCACGGAGAGGGTTTTCTTATACTACCACCAGCAGGGGATCTTAACCTACACCAGGGTACCCCGGCCCATAACCGAGGACGGAGAAATCATGTTTCATATCATGGCGACTCCTGTGATCAATGACTGTATGTATAAGAACATGTACAGATACAAGAAAATCGTCGTCACCGATTTAGACGAAATGATCGTTCCCCGTGGAAATTTGATGACGTACCATGACATGTTGGCCGCCATTGAAAATGAAACAGAATCAAGTCATCCGTACCGAATGTATAATTTTAGGAACGTGTATTACTTCTCCGAACTGCCGCAGAATACGTCGCAGCCGGAGTATGCGTTAACGTTACGTCAAAATCACCATTTGAGAGAACTGACGGCTCACGGAACGGCAACTAAAAGCATCTCAGACCCGATGGCTTGCAATAATTTGCATAATCATTATTGCTTGAAAATCCCCAAAATGCTTGAAAAAACGCCTCATTCTATTCAAGTTCATGAAAAATTTGGCTTGAATCAGCATTACAAGAAGTGCCACTTCGACAAGTACCGTAAGGCTTACAATCTGCCATCTTGCAAAGAAGCTCTGAAGAATTACACATATGACCCCACTATGCTGAAATTTAAGAAGAAAATGCTGGCCAGTTTAAAAAAGCCTCTTAAAGATCTTCAATTGATAAAACATGTTTCTTGAATTCTTTAACAGCATTAAGATCAACCACTTTGTCTTATCTTTTTTTGTGTTGTTGATTATTTGTACTTGATTCTGCATTTGAAAATGAAATTTTAGTGCAGGATCTTAGGCCACATTCACACAGAGAGCATCGGTCTACGTAGATCGATCCAACTCTGCAAGAACTCTCACTGAATGCAATCAGCTTAACCGTATGGTAGGCCTCCCCCCGTGTTGAGTAGAATACCAGAAATACAGAAAGGCTGGTGATGAATATATGCTTTGGAATGGTTGCGCTACATGTAACAATAAACGTAACAAACGTTGTTAGACCCTTTTTCGTCTATCAGCTACATGTTAATCAGTCGTTAATCGTGTTGTTTCTGTTTAAGACTTACTCACTGCAAAGTGTCGGATGAGGAGGCCCCCGCCGAGCACGCGACTGCACGGCGTTTACCTCCCAGTTATTAGAGACATTTATCTTGTTGTATTTCAACATTTAGCTAAGCAGACACAAAGATACACAAATAAACCCTCAATGCCGTCTCATGTTTGTTGCAGTAACGCTACTATTTCTTTGACTTTTTTGTCTCACTTATTAAGGGATAAAAACGAAAACCAAATAAATCAATTGATTTACTATCCATAAACTATGGATGTTTGATTAGAAAGATTAGCTTTAGTGTTTCGTTGTTGATCTACAAGATAACATAGGTGCTGAATTAATTCCGGGACAGAAACACAAGAAAACTTCTGGATTACTACATGTATATATCAATTTTAAATAATTTCTAAAGTGAATAGTTAAACGAGAGTTATTTTTTAGATTCTATTTATAAAACGGTACTTCTTTATTTATGTTAGAACATATTTTGACCAGTCTCAACTTCCTTGGAAAAATGCAAAATCGACCTTATTTTTCTTCAGTTTAGACGTATTTTGTTCGGTATCTTGCCTTCATAGAAATAACATAACTCGTCACAACACTTTATAAAATGATAATTAAATTGAGTAAATTCATTCGTTTAACAATATAATGAAAGTCAGACAAAAGTCGCCATAAAAGCGATTTCCAACAATTATTATATATCAACTGTCAATATCAACATCTCTCTCTCTCTCTCTCTCTCTCTCTCTCTCTCTCTCTCTCTCTCTCACACACACACACACACACACACACACACACACACACACACACTCGCGTTTTGCAGTTTCACGAATCACAACCGTCACAATCGAAGCGAAGTTCCACATAAAACGACGGCAATCTGTCTTTTGGTCATTCTAATCATATTTTCAAGGTCTGGCTTTTGAAGAAAAAAGGAATTTGTGGTTAAAATTAAACAGCTGTGGCTGATGTGGATAAATAGAACATGAAAAATAATAGGAACAGATCAATAGATTGAATATCAACTATGATAACAAAAATGTTACATTAAATATGTTTAATTCCCCACAGGGAAAGTAACGCTTTTCTTCTTTATGAATCCTGTAAATTCACGAAATGAAAATAAACATGTGTATGTGGGAAGGGATGGTTTGAGGAGGACATACCTGTCAGTAAAAGCACATGTACATACATGTGTACACTACATATATATATACATAACATGAGGAACATTATGTAATACTTAACACGACACGTCTCTTTACTGTGGTTAATCCGTACTTGTCCGGCTATAGCCAGCTCCGTGGTGGGCTGAAAACACCTGCTGCCGTCCCACTTAACCCTGATGAACACAAAATTTCAAATCCAGAGACTAAATGAAATCTTGAAAGTAGACCGAAAACATGTAATCGACATTAAAAAGTGCACAGTCCTTGCCCTAAGATCCGTAAAATATAATTGTAGTTAATTTAAAAGACCACACGCCACATTGACGAAGGTTCACTTTAGTGTGAATATCAAAACGGAAAACACGTGACCTCCTGGTATCTATGGTAACCAGTCCATCCCTAAATCTCCTTATAGCTGAGGTCTCGTCCCCATATGGTACATAGACTATAACACCGGACACCATGAAGACCGCCTTGGTAGCTTTTACAATATGTTTCTTAACAAAGGTGAGAAAACAAAGTATTTGGTTACTAAATATTTGGATTGGTTTGCTTAAATACCGGTAGCTTAATTTTCCCATACAAAATAGTATTTTTATTATTATGTGTACACTTATGGTTAATTGGGAGCCAATTATTTTAGACTATACAAACTGTCCAATAATTATACATGTGAATCCTAGCTTCTTGTTTTTTTAGGTTGCGACAGCAGGGCCTCCTTTGTGTAAGTTGTACTGAGGAGTTACAAGATGTACCTCCTTGGTTGAACAAGGACATTAAGATTAGAAAACCTGAAGATCTGCATACACCGTGTATTAATTTATAGCATAGTGGAAGAAAGTTAACTTTTGAGTTTTATAAACTGTGGCAACCATATCTTGATTATTTGACTCATCTTCATGCCGAGGCTGTTTATTGCCAGGAGAACCGCTTTAGTTGTAAAGACATGTCATACAATTCAGCAAAAAGGCTGGATGTATTATTATACAATATCTTCCTTCAAATAATTAAAAATGAGATGAGTGCAGATATCAGATGTTATAACAAGTGTGTCGTAGAAAAGAAACACTACCCAGTTAAAGAATATCTATGCGAATGTGTTGTGTTGTATAAAAACGGTTCTTTAAAACACAGCACGTTTCTTCATGTTTCTAGGCGCAGCCTCAGCGTTTCTCAGCAGGTGTCCGGAGATCCCCAATAAGAACGGCTTGGTAGCGGATCACTCCTGGACCACCACCAACCTCTACTGTCAAGATGGCAAGTACCTGGAGGGCAAGAAGACACTACGCTGTATTAGCGACTGGAACAGCGTCGGCTGTAAATACGACGCTGCTGTACCCGTGTGTAAAGGTAGGGGTATGGATAGGTTGGTGACAGTTAACAGGTAAAGGTCAAGTAAAACTGGGTGGATTATTGTCAGGGTTTAGTCAATGCTTACTAACGTTATGGATTCATTACCTCATTTTTTATAGCAAATGCAAATCAAGCACCCTTTTGGTGTTTGCCAGAAAGGTTAAAATTTAAGGAACATTCGGTTTGCAAACATTAAAACGTGATTTAACCGCAGCAGTAATTAGATAATAATTTCTTTGACAAGATATTTTTTACAAAACTAAAACCAAGAATTACAACGACCGACATTGCTTTTATCCCCTATTTTTCGTTTCATAATATAAGTCTTTGTGTTTATACAGTAGTATGTAGGTTGAGGACTATTAAAGCAGGTTCACAACAACGTTAACTAGCATGTCCATTTTTGTTCCAGATTACAAGGGCTACAAAGGTTGTTTCAGAGATAGTTACGGTATTCTGTTGAGAAATGCCAAATCTTGGAAAAGCAACAGTATGAATGTAGCAAGGTAACCTTAAGCCTAAAGCCATTACTTATCTTTAAGTAGAACAAGAACATAGACACGGTGAACTGAATGAAGGGACATTGGGAAAATAGCGTTGGATTTAAATCTTCAACGAAATATTTTCGAAAACACACTTTAAACAACAGAGAAGTATCAATATTTAATGTGTTTCAATATAAAGTCATCGTTTCCAAAGTGGCTAAGTCAAAGTGTTATCCACGCCTGTTTTTCAGATGTATTGGTTTTTGTTCAAAATTCGGCCTGGATATAGCTATGTTATCTGACCAAAACGAGTGCTACTGCCACCCTGATGGTTTCAAGTATGATGCAGTGGGCAAAGGAACATGTACGAAAAGGTGATGAACACCCAAGTTATCTCTTTTTGCACTGATTTAAGAGTGATTCTGACAAGTAGTTTCTGAAGTTCAAATTGCTTTTTAAAAGTGATATGTTGACATAAAAAAGTAAGTCGTTTATAAACATTGTTTACTCTTTTTTTATTTCTCCTACTTTTTCATGTTGAAACAAATGTGAATCAGATATGCTGATAGTATACAAGTAAGGTTTCTAAAGTAAAAACAGGGTTGACAACACGATGTTTTTTCTGTGATGGATATAAAATCAGTTTTGCAAAGAATTTGTTTCTTTTGGAGAGAAATGAGTTGGAATAGCAGACTTAATGAGAAGCACTGGTACTTATTTTATTATTTTACTTTTAACAGGTGCTCTGGAGATGACAGTCAGATCTGTGGAAGTGACAGATCCCTCTCCGTCTACAGTGGTACGTCTATATATATATAGGCAAACTAAGATTAGATATTTTAACTTTTCAGCCTTAAAAGTGTTTCCTTTCTCCTGATGAATCTGAAGTTTTAATTTAATAGTGCTCATAATGCTTCTCAGATGTGTGAATATGTATTCTCTATTTTTTATTTCACGTTGTAGTGAAGGCATCCACCGCAGACAACATTCCAGGTAAGTATCTACAGCATGACCTTAGCCATATCTCGAAAACCGTGTATCGCAAAGTGTTTGATCTGATTATAAAACTGTAGTTGAATTAAAACATTAAAAAGTATTTTTAAATTAAAATACACTCTTAGATACCAAATAAAAATTGTAAAAAAATCAACTTTCCTGGCGAGATGTTTTAGCCAAATAAATTAAATGATATGAATTAAAAGATAACCCAGTGATCACCTTCAAACATGAAAAGTCGTGTAGGATGAATAGAAGTTGTGTGTAGTTTTATCCACAAAGAGAGCGTAGTTCATTTAACCTGTTCTCACTGCATTGGTTTAATTACCATACTTATTTCTAAGCAGCTACATTAAATGGAGGCTTCAAAAACCCCCGCATGGACGTGGTGCTAATATTACTGTATTTCTTGGTTCTAGTGGTTCACTGTCCTGACATCGACCCTGGCAAGGGAAAGGTGGTCCACACCAGACAGGTGAACGGAGTCACTCTAGTCGGGGACTCGGCCCGTATTGACTGCGACTACAGCTCCACCATCAAGGGAGGGGCGGCCACTGTGAAGTGTATGGCTGATGAGAAGGGTCACGCTAAGTGGAGTGCCACCCCCGGGAAGTGCGAACGTAAGATATAGATGTCACTGGAGCAAATTTGCCAATGCACAGGCCTACTATGTGCTGTTGTCATGGGGGCGTCTCGATAGTCCGAAGGTTCATTGGTCCGAAGGTTCATTGGTCCGAAAAGTGGTAGCATTTTTATCGATTTTTTAATCAAGGGTTCATTGGTCCGAAGGTTCTATAGTGAACATTCGGACCAATGAACCTTCGGACTATTGAACCTTCGGACTATCGCTACGGCCCCGTTGTCATAATGGCAAATACTAATGAAAATGTGTTAAAATATATGCTGATAATGTATTTTTGTATAAGTTTCTTTCATTTTTCTCTCCTGTATTTAGCAATTCTTGGCTATTTGGGCTGCTACCGTGAGAGGTATGGCCGTCCACTGTTCAGTTCTAGTTACCTGTGGACTGACAACAAGATGACACCTCAGAGGTAGGTATGTCGATGTTAACGAAAATTATCGACTGTTTTCTCCAACTATTCGTTTGTGTGCCTTTGTAAAATAAATTAGAATAATTGTATATGGAGGCTGGACGGGTCCCCGAGGTATGGTGAACATATTAATATAATTCATAGTGTTTACTTGGCAAAATTGAGAATTGAAATTTGTGATTATATGATAGTTTCAGCAATGATTATATTTATTGGCACGATGAACAATACGTATAGGTATCCCGGTCGGTTTCTAATTCCACATTTTTCAAAACTAAAAATAAATGAGCGTCACTATTTACATGTCGCTCATTTTGACTAAAGTCATTATATCAGATCTGCAGTTTTAATGGAGGAAGATTTTGGAACATTTCCAATTCAGGTGTATGGCATACTGTCAGCAATTGGGCTTTGAGTTGGCAGCATTGCGCAGTGGTAAATACTGCTTTTGTGGGGACAGAAAGGTCAATCTAACTCAAAATGGTGCCGCGTTGAACCCCCAAAACTCGTGTAAGTACCGGTGTGCCGGGGACAGCTCTCAGTTCTGTGGTGGAGACAGATATGCAGTGTCGGTGTATGATGGTGAGTGGTACTAGTATGGTTTGCTACTTTCTGTACTTATATCTAATATAATTATTATACTACACTTAGGCCCCTATCCGTACTAATATATAGTACTAGGATGCTCTAAATCGCATGTATCTCAATGATATTGTAAATATGTAAATTGATAAAGGTTTTTTTAACTTATCCAGCAGAGTTTGCTACATATTATAATTCATTATACTTACTTTAAGTTTCTTCAAATCATATTCTTTGCAGTGATGGCTAAAGATAATGGTGTTTTTACTGCTGGAACCAGCAGATTTTGGCGTTAAGAGCAAAGGCTTCTCAGTTCTAATGTATTTCTTTTTATAGTTTCAGCTGCAGTTTTTGGTGGACTTCCAGGTAACATCTTTTTTACCGAAAAGATCTCTTTAGATTCCCTCTAACTTTACATTGAATAACCGTGTACTTGGACAAGTTGTGATAAATGGTACTTTTTCTTTAAAGATAGCACCACAGAAATAGTAAACAGGCTCTTTATCTGGCTTTAAAAACATTTTTATCAGAATTATTTTAGCAATAATCTAATTTATATTTCATATACTGAATTCAGTGATCAGTTGTCCAAAGTTAAACATTCGCAACGCCAAGTTGACTTATGAAGGATCCGTGAATGGCGTCACCTTCCCCCGCGGCTCTGTCAAGGTGCAGTGTAATGATGGGACGCTCAGGGACGGTGTCACCAAGCTGAACTGTGTGACAACTAACTTGCAGCCTAAGCCCGCTTGGGATAATACCCCGCCTCTTTGTAAACGTAAGTAACAGTTTTAAAAAATGCACTTTTTGTGCGTATCTAATTCAGGAACTAAGATATTAAAACAAATTTACGTTCGTGAAGAACTGTTGATAATGATTATTTAAACGGATCTAAAACTTACTGCATTTTTCATCTTATAGGTAGTGAAAGGATATTTTCTTTACAAAGTGCAAAAATGAATTAATCAATTCTCATATTCTTTTCTCTTCTTATTTTCGTACAGTATTTTGTTTCATTTAGTTATATTGAATACATATAGAGAAAAACGCTCAATTTAATTTGGAAGTGATATGAGTACTACAGTAAATTCGATTTACCCCAGTCCCTCGCATACATGGCACCTGTTCCTCTTGCTCCAGCTCTCCATGGCTATGTGGGGTGCTTTAAGGACCGTTACCCAGAGAAGAAGTTTGATCCTCGCACAGTCTGGAACACCCCGTTCATGTCAGCCACCATGTGTATTATGCACTGTCACGGTATCAGGTATATGTACGCAGGTAAATCATAGTTTGCCTTACGTTCTTGTATTATTGCTTTCCGTACGTACCTTTCATAGTGAGGGGGCTTGTCTGTACTTGCTTTTTAACAATTTGCATATGTCACTGACCGTAGGAGAAATACATCAAGTATGCACGAATTTCTATACTTTTAAGGTCGAAGGTGCGGATAATGGAGTCAAAATATAGCAACATTTCTTATTGATCAGCATAATTTCAAATAAAAGTTTTCTCTGAGCGGCTAGGAATGATCAAAATATTAGATCGGTCTGTTTATGCTACTAAGCTTGTTTGAACAAAATATTAAGAGGAAATGTGAAATTCAAGTTGTAAATGTCAAAACGTGGTTTGACCTAATTTGATGAAATGTTGACCATCTTCTTTCACTTCTGTCATTACAACATCTACATAAACGAGTTGCTGCAAAAACCGACATAACATTTTTTTTGCGTATTTCTTCCCCAGCTCTTGAGAATGGTAACAAATGTCACTGTGGCAATGAAGACATCTTGTATGGTGCTGGTTCCTCCACTACATGTAGCTACCTGTGTCCTGGTGACAACAAACAGATATGTGGAGACTACAGGGCGCTCTCCGTCTATAAAGGTGGGGACATAGGGGTCATTCAGAACGGGGGACTTACAGGTCCACGGATCAAATATGGCCGACCTACCTACTTGAATGGTTGTTGCGTAATTAACGCAGAAAATCTATTCAGTGTCTAATCCTAAATTAAGCGGCAGTCTTTTAAGTGGATCGCCATATTTGATCTGCGGATCTGTTAGTCCACTGTTCTAAATGCACTGATGGTGTACACATCTGGATAATATAAGGTTATTTTATAACACTCATTGTTGCATTGCGCTAAACGAGATACGGAAAATTGACGTAGAGAAAAGTAAAATGTCTCCACTTGTACATACAGAGAAATTCTGTCATGTAGTTTAAACCTGTTTATTAAATGCCATATGTTAATCACAAAACACGTTTGTCGTAAATCCTGTATTTATATTGCGGTTCGTTCCAGTGAATGACCATATCAACCCAAAGATGACCACTGCAAAACCAAAACCCATTCCTACCACCAAAGCAGCGACGACCAAGAAAACTAAGCCAACTACAACTACCACCGCGCCAACAACTACACCAACCCCTCTTACAACAACCATGTCAACTACCACCCCAATGCCAACAACAACAACAACCATGCCAACTACCACCCCAATGCCAACAACAACAACCATGCCAACTACCACCCCAATGCCGACCACAACAACCATGCCAACTACCACAATGCCGACAACAACAATGCCAACACCAACCATACCAACTACCACCCCAATGCCAACAACAGCCATGCCAACGACCACAATGGCCCCTCCCACCACCACAGCGGTGCCCGGCTCCGGAGATGCAGTGTCCAATGACGGGGACGATATTCCAGCTCCCTACACTATCATTGAGTAGTTATCAGCAGTGGAAAATTTACTTGCAGGTTTTATAAAAGTGTATATTTTGAGTTTATGTATTCGAATTGAATTGGGAACAATGTTCATAGAGTTAAATAAATATATTAGAAGGTGTATTCATGTAGTTTCCATGTATGTTTTATGTTAACGTCGCATTGTTTGCTTGCCAGGACGTTCATATCTAGTTCCAGACGTTAGAAGTATGAAGTGTGCACTATATATAAAATGTGTATTTGGTATAAAGGCATTTGAAATTGGACTTCATTTTTCCTTTTTTTTGCTTTTGGTTTACTAGTATGTAACGGTATGATTGCACTTAACGTAATTCTTATCTAAATGTAACAATTTACTCATCAAAATTAGCAGAATACATGTACCAACCAAAGGCATTCGTATCAAACTTGCACTTCAAATTCTGAGCTCGACTTTGGAGACACGTACATGCACCACTGATGAAAAATAGAGTTATTTCTTATTCTAGCTAACATATTTATATGAATGTTGAGAATAAAAATGGGGACGTGGTAAAATCCACTGAAAATCATAGTAAATGAAATCTATTGGCACCTATGGACGGATAGTGATGCCCCTTTGCACGCATTTCACAAAACCGCCACCAATATGCCAGGAAGGACGTGCATAATAAAATCACGTCAAATATTCCCAATGGTATCCAACACGGCGTGACATTATCGGCACACTGTGCCCATCCTAGGTAAACGTAATATCCAGACATATGCGTCACTCCCAGGGGAAGGCACGTTTTATTACATGACGACAATATAAAGCCTTTAGGAAGATAGCAGACACCTCACTATCTGAAGACGAGTCATGAAGCTGCTTATAGCGTTAGCGGTGTGCTTCGTAGCCAGCGTAAGTGCCAGTTAGACTTTCTACGCTGTATTCACTTTTATTTGGCTTATTATGTTTGGAAGTAGGTTTTCGTTATTTTAGTTGGCATTATTTTGAGGAACATAAGTAACTTTGTATTGAGATATTCGTTACAAACATTTATGTCACTGAGATGCTGAAAAAAAAAACAAACATTCAATGATTGCAATTATCTTTACAAAGATTTAATATATTTTTCGATTTTTCTTTTTTTCCAATCACTCCTACCTTTAGGAAGCCGCCAGACAATACTGTGAGTATGGTTGTTCACATAAGGCTAAATACACTTGGTGTTGTTTGCATAGAATTTCGATAAAATACGATATTTATCTTTTCGTTCAATCTTCGGGCTTGTTCTCCATCAGATATTGCAAATTATTTTGTTACATTTTTAAAACACTTGCACACACACACACACACACACACACACACACACGCACCCACGCTCGCAAACATAGCCTCACTTTGAACCGCTGTTTTTTAAGGTTATGATGGCGATCATTTCGGCTACTGCCCCGACCTGAACACCACGACAGGCGGACAGTGGTTCTTTCCAACCAGAAAAATCGCACGTTTTGGCTGCGATGACGGCAAATACTTGGACAACCCAAAGACTCTGGGCTGTGTACGTGACGTCCAAGGTGAAGATGGCTGCTCCTGGAATGACACTATGACCGAAATGTGTAAAGGTATGGTCACTTATTATTTTAGGGAGAAATTATTTACGACAGAACCTATTTATAAAAGGTGCAATGGGCATTGCTATTAGGCTCTGTGTCAGAGATTCTATATAACATGCGCTTCATAATCGTGTCGTATATGTTGGATTATCTTTAAACTTGGTAGCGGGGATAGAATTAGGCATTAAGTTATGGGAATATAACAGGTGCTTTGTGTAACATATAGCAATGCCCACAGACGTCAAGCGGGCAGTTGGTAGAATTGTTTTATAAAATTTCTGTATAGTTCACAATTTGCAGTCTTCGTTTGGGTTATGATAAACCAAAATGACCCCCGCCATTCCCCCAGTGTATTTGCCAGTACAGACTGAAATAGGGCCTCTCACCTCTAACAGTACAAACAATCTTCTTTCACTATTGTTGTAGATTTCAGCGGCTATGAGGGCTGTTACAGAGACTACTATGGCCTAATGACCAGAGCAGCTGAAAGGACGTGGTCAGACAGTATCCACATGACAGTACCTAGGTACACCAATCCTTAAGACGCCTTAACACCTGTTGTGTACTGATATCTGCTATAATGCTTGCATTTAAAAATGAAAGAAAAGAGTGCGTAATACTAATTTCATATTGTTATTGAGATTTCATCTACCTAATATTTTTGGATTGCAATACATATATTAACTCAAGTTAATTACCATTAATATGCATACAAAAAGTGAATTAATTTCAACTCGCATCAGTTTAATATTTCAACACTTGATATATTGCGCCATGTCAAATGGAAACTCTTCTTTTTTCATTTACCATTTAATTTTTAAACGTATCTTACTGTTTTTTCCCAGATGTATATCTTTCTGCTCCAAGTACGGCCTTGACCTTGCTATGCTGAGAGACAACAACGAGTGTTTCTGCCACAAAGAAGGCATCAAATATAAACAGTTCGGCAACTCCACGTCATGCACGAACAGGTATAATAAAACTCAGAAAAATATATTCAGATGGACAGAAGTACATACAAGAAATCAGAAAACTTACAAAAAAGAAATGTACAGAAATGCATTTTGGGAAATCGTCTAGGGCGTGGTGAGGTGTAGTATCATCGTTTTCAGGTCTGGGTTTCTTGGTCGATTGAAAACATTAAATCTGAAAGTGCACTTGACTTCAGTGATAGAAGCTTCTATCTAAAATTATTTTATTTATTAATTACCAACTGTAGATGTAGCGGAGACAAGTCTCAGGTCTGTGGAGGTGACAGAGTCCTGTCCGTATACAGCAGTGAGTATACAGTTTGTCCGTAGACAGCAGTGAGTATCTCCGGGCGACATACAGTTGGTTCGTTTCTTGCTTAAAAATATCGTTGACCAAATTTTGCCCTTATTTCCCGAAAGACAATATTGTTAGTCTGTTAGAACCCCCAACCTTAAAATCACGTCCGCCCATTGGAACTAACTGATTAGTTGATATGTTTAGTGATGACTTATCATGATATATCCCAAGCATTATACTTATGTTTAACACAAATTTCTAATATTTTCTTTCAGTCAAGGCGACAGCTCTCAGTGGAAATATCCCATGTAGGTATTAACCACATATTTTTCAATAGAATGATATTGTTGTAATTGGGGCACATGGGAGAGGTCCAACCAATTTACAAAGTCTATTTACAGTTAAAGTTGTAGACTACATTCCCTGCTTGACCCAACCATGTAATGGAAGTGTATCTCCCAGTTATACTTCCATGACGCTTATCACAAATTGCAAAAAAAGATGCTCAAAACGAAAGCTTTGTTTGTAAAACATAAACAATATTGACTCAAAAGTTGAGTGAGTTGTTTTCATGTCAGAAAGTACATTTTTGAATAAATGAAAATGATAAATCTTGAAAAATACTAGATTGAATGTGACGTTTGAAATAATCAAGTATTTACCGTATTATCCTTCCATCTTCAGTGGTTCATTGTCCTAAAGTGGATCCCGGCACTGGCACTTTGGTCCACAGCAAGAAGGTCAACAACATCACGCTGATCGGAGACTCTGCAAGACTTCAGTGCAACTACGGCTCCGTCGTAAAGAACGGCGCTAAATCTGCTCAGTGCGTTCCTGATGCCAAGGGAAACGCTATGTGGAGCCAGTCACTTGGGAAATGTGAACGTACGTATTTAAGACAAAGGGTATACTTGTGAAATACAATGTAAACTTACATTGTTGCAATTGTGTGTCACTATATATACTAGCTGCCCATGTAGAAACTCAACTGTGAGGTAGTACTGTTTTAGCTCAATCCTCAACTTGTCAGTGTGGTCACAAGTGGAGGCTGTGCCATGCTGGCAAACTCTTCCTCTACTGCTCATCTGTCCAGCCTACACACACCAACTCCCAACTCACAAGTGAAGGTGTCTAGTATAGTTGACTTATACTTCACTGTCCACTAGGTCATATGCCTAGTGAGTAGTACTCTAGTAAACGCTCTGATAATCATACACTAAGTGTTGGGAGACACATGACATGTGGCATGGGAACACGTGATTTCTATTGGACACACACACACACACACACACACACACACACACCGGTAGGTATAAGGTTAGGTATATATAAGATACTGAGTAGTGTATTCTGTTAACGACAGGTAAGATGTGCTGCGTACCGGCACGTTCTAACGAACGTGTGAAGCCTTTTTTGCTTCCTGCTCTTGGATTCTTCTTAACGGCCACAAACTCGGCACTTCCCCTTTATGATATATTGCGCAATATTACTTTGGCCACGCTTTCGTAAATCTCTTATTATGTACTATGAACATGAAGAATGTTTACCATTGCAGCTATCCCTGGATATTTGGGTTGCTTTAGAGACGGTTACTATAGCAACAATCTGGTGAACATCTTTAGCAGCAAGAACAGATGGAGGGACTACGAAATGACCACCACAAAGCAAGTCATCACATATATTTTGCTCTCTAAACATTTTGATTTAGAAAAGTATATGTATATACTTTAAATGAAAAGAAAATTCAGTAGGGCCTACTTTGAGAAATTTTGAATATTACATAACGCTTGAATACCAACCTACCTCATTTTAGTGTTGCAAAAATTGGCAATAGCAAGTTTTCCCTTCAGTATTTGCATATATAGTAGGATGTCGGTGCGCAATTTCTTTAAAGCATCGTCTCACATAATAAAATCAGAAAGGTTCACCTAATACACGTCCGTTAGTCACAGCTAAGCATCATTTCCATCTTCTAGGTGCCTCGCTTTCTGCAAAGAGTCTGGTTTTGAGCTGGCTGGTTTGAAGGTTGGCCGCTACTGTTACTGCGGGATGAAGTCACTTAATCTCACCGTGAACGGTGCTCCACTGAAAGGTGCCCGCTACTGCAGGACCACCTGCTATGGAGACAGAGACCAGTACTGTGGGGGAGATTATAATGTCGTCTCGGTGTATGACGGTAAATGTGAAATATTAACACTTGAACTAGGATTTCACAATTCATAGTAAGAGCATAGGTATTGACAACTGAGCATACATATTTTTTATCATATCTATGCAGTGTGTCAGTCCCTTGTTCACCCACAATATCACACTTTACTGTGAACTCATCTCTGTTATCAACCTAGTATTTCTAGTGCAGAACGGCAATTTGTGTGTATAGTAGAAGTAAGTTACAGACAGTGTGTTCTGAAACCCAGGCCAGTATACAGAACTACAATATCAGGTTTCGAACAGTAGTAAAGCTGAAATGTGGTGTAGTACATCGGTTTCCAAACAGCAGTTGTATAAAACATATCCAGTCTAAAGCACATCCAAGACATATGTAAACTCATGTAGTATTCGTGCATGTTGAAATCTATCGATATTGAAATATTAAACTGATGTATTACTCGTTCAAAATGCATATAAAAAAATTCATATTTTTCAGTAACTATGTCTTCATTCACTGGATTGACAAGTAAGTATAATCATTGGAAATTTACGATATGGTAAAAATGAAAACAATTATACTTCGTGAATTAATTTCTGTACTTTTTTGACCAGGTTGTACTTTTTTTGTAAAACGTAATACACATGTTGAAAATGCCCTTACACGACATTTTTAAAAACCTTATGTCTGATATAAAATGTACACATTCATTGATATCATGACGTCATCGTCTTCCAGAGATCACGTGTCCCAAGCTGAACATTCCTAATGGCAGAATCGTCTATGGCAGCTCTTCCGTGAACAACCTGACTTTCCCAGAGGGCGCTGTCAGCGTCACCTGCAATGACGGGACCGTCCGCCTTGGCTATTCTAGACTGACCTGTGTCCAGAAAGATGACCAGACCGACCCCACGTGGAACAGACCCGCTCCTGTCTGCGAAGGTACCCTGTCACGTGACAGACAGTTAAAGCAGCTATTCATGGTGTTCTCAGTAATCAAAAGTTATCTTTAAAGTTATGTTTTAAAGGTAGCTCTTTCACCAAAGAACCTGAGCATTGGCATAACCTATTCACACATTCATTGTTTATGTTTTCCTAATTCAGTAATCCCAGGGTACCTGGGCTGCTTCAGAGAACGATACCCAGAGATGAAGTTTGATCCCTCCACAGTGTGGACGACAGACTTCATGACCGCTACCAAGTGTATCAAACACTGTAAAGGACTGGAATACAATTATGCAGGTAAATAGACGTGGTGTGTATGAACATGTCAAATATCGCCTTGAAACGGGTCGTCTGGAGCATATGCTTTATGATTTCATTGCGTTTACGAGTGTTGATAATGTGCAAAAAGAGTTGTATTCACTAATACGTCCATAAGTAGAGGGACACGATGTACTTATTTTACAGATATATAAATAAGTTTTCTATTAATGTCAGCTCTGGAGTACGGCAACATCTGTCACTGTGGTAATAACGAACTTCTGTATGACGCCGGGGCTGCCTCAGTCTGCAACGACAAGTGTAAGGGCAACAGCACCCAGATCTGCGGAGACTACAAGAAACTCTCCATTTACCAGCGTAAGTTATAACTAATGGTATACCATAACATTAAAGGACTATTATATTTTGTTATTTCGAAACAACATTAAAGGAAACTACTGGAAACGGTTCACAAGCCGTGGCACACATTTGCTACACAAGCACAACTCCTTTTTTGTCCAAAATTCATATAGCGCTTTGTTACTGTTTTATAATCTGTATTTGAATATTTGCAGTGAACGTGAAGGTAACAACTATTGCCCCAACAACACCAGAACCCACTACCGAGAAGCCAACTCCAGAACCAATGAAGCCAACAACAGCTAAAGCCACACCAACTCCCAAAGCGCCAACCCCCTCTCTCATTTCTAGCACGGAGGAGCCTGGATCCGGTGAGGGATCCGGTGAAATCGTAGATCCAGGAATGGGTTCCCTAATTGGTTAGACAGGGATGCCATAAGCTAGACATAGATGATATGATAGGTCATTGGTATCAGTAGTATGGTTTGAGAATTGACAGAAACTGAGCTGTAAGCAAGATATCCGACCGAATAAAAGGTTTTGTAAGAGTAATTATTTGGAATATGTCATTTTTTGTTCCTCTTCTTGCTATGATGCCACCATCGTAAACATAACTCACGAATTATTGAAATGCATAATTTCTTTCTGGATAAATAAGAACACTGTAGTCAGATCCAAAGGGTGGCATGTTTTTTGTCTTACCTGTAGTGAAATCTCCACTACCAGACGAGGGGAAATGGTTTGAGGCCCACAGAACTATATTCCATATACCTCTAGTATTATAGACGGAGGTGGCACGGGGATAGGGAGGGGGTGGAAACAAAAGCCGATGTAAAGAAACTGAGGGTCCGTGTAACAGAATGTCCGCCCTCCATATAGTTATAATGGTTAGGGTTAGTCCGACCTAAGTGAGTCAAAACCTAGGGCGAGGCTCACCTGTACAAATGAATGGGAAGCAGACTCCCTGTTATGGGGGACTCTCTGTCACGTTACACCGGAAACAGAAGATTGTCCCACCTTTCTTGATAACCTGTATACACCAGTGAAGACCGGTCTCATTTAATGAATTTCATATCTAGTATTTGTAATCCTAAAAGTTGTTCTAGCACGCGTAACATATTACCGCATTTCTGTGCGATGGACATCCCTTCTTGCACTGCATATATCAAATTTCATTTGTGGTAACTGGTATAGAAGGAAAGACAATGCAATGAAAAGAATTTTTTTCATTTTATTCACATAAGTGCCTAATTATTGCTCCGTTACAAAGTAACAACCAGAAAAACCATGCGTCATTTGAAATTCCAACATCAATTAGTTACTACGTTACTACGACAGCTATGGTGGTTATTTCTGCGTTATCAACCAATGAGGGGTTCCGTTTCATTATCAACCAATGAGAGGTTCCGTTTCATTATCAACCAATGAGAGGGGCCGTTCCGTTGCCAGCATTGAACACCATGTTGTACCAAACCACTACAATATAACAATCAGAAGAAATTCAAGTTATAATTGTGCAATTATAATGTAAAACGCACGCAAACCAGTGCATGGCCTTAGGTCAAAGAAAACATAAGGCTTACCATTACCATAAAATATGCTATCTGATCTTGCACATGTACTGTACAAATGTACGCACTAAAGTACTATATTCCTGTCAACCTGCGTTATTGTCTTGATGTGATGTTGATTAACTGACTACAGAGTTTACAGGACTAAATTTTATGAGATTCATGTAAGAAAATCTGACTTATTTAACCCAAGCTTATTTCATTTTCTTGGCATTATGATGACTACACACGATAAATATTTCAAATTCATAACCTATCAAGAAAAACTGCAATATATTATTGATAGTCTTAACTATTAAAAGATATTACAGATATTACAGAGATATTACACCTGAAAAATTGAAAACCAACATACCGTCATAAACGGACACCTGGTCGTCGTCCTCTCCACACACCTGGGTAGCGTCTCCCTCACACCTGTCCTTACACCGCTTACGACCATATGCAGTGAAATTGAGACCAGTCTTGGCGCAGTAACACTCGTCTCCGTCCATAAGACCTATAGAAACACATGTCATTTTAAAACTTGAATAAAAATGAATAGATTTCATTTTCTCGAAAAAACAGCTGCAAAGGGTTGCGTAGACAGTTTTTTTCATCGAATCCCAACTGGCAATTGTTCTGGTATTTTTGATTATCTCATCTTTATTCAAAAATGGAGCCAAATGAACTATATATTTACCGTCATTCTTGCTTATATTTATTTTCAAATTTATTCCAAAATGAAGAATATTTACACCACTTTGGTTTCCTCGTCTAATTCTTGCAATGGGCACAAGAAGTATATAAATAAAACCTGTCTTGAAAGTGCTGTTAACGAATGAAAGCTGTTGGCGTACCTGCAAAGCTGAACCCCTCTGTGGAACACCTTGAGATACATTTCTCCACTGTCATGGCGTCATCACTCCACTCAGTGCTCAGATCAAACAAGAACGGCACAGTGTCCTCATTGTCAAAACAGCCAACATAGCCGGGAATGCCTGGAGGGGAAATTTTGAAATTGAATATTTTAATCTTAAGTGATGTCCTTTATTTTATCTGAGTAAGAAAGCGTCTGCTTTTTATAAAAAATATTTGGTTGTATTTGTTTAACTGTAATGTGATTTTGCAAGCCCTCCCCCCTCCAACTCTTAGTATTACATACATATCGGAAAATACAAACTGTACATCATCCTATCATTCTGTAATGTTTATTTGGCTGAACTTTGTGTGTGATAGAATTGTAAAAATATAATTCCATTAGCATAAGTTTTTCTCTTTTTTTACATAGAAAGGAATATTCGTTATCTATGAACATGTCACGCAAACGCATTTTCATTTTCAAGAAACCGCATCACGTCAATTGATTCATACGAAAAGAATATGATAAAATGCAGAAAATCACTTCACCAAGGAACCACTTACGTTCACAAGTAGGCAAGGCTTGGTCCCAGACAGGCTTCCCCATAGGTGGCGTGACACAGGTGAGTGTCCTGGGCCCGCACAACCTGTGGCCGTCATTACACCTGAACGTTATCATGGCGCCGTCCGCCAGGACCATACCCTGCTTGATCTCGCCGTTTGGTATGGAAGGGATCTTGGGACACTCTTTGTGATAATAATAATAATAATAATAATAATAATAATAATAATAATAATAATAATTTGTTTACTCACTTATAAACTCTCTATACTTTAGTTTAGTTGAAAGTAAAAAAAATGGCAAAGTGTGCTGCGGCAGCCTTCAGTTTTCAATAGGTCTATTTGTTTATAAACAATACAATGGAATATCGTCAAAACTAAATGCACTGCATTCAAATCGAGTAAAATTTAAATTGCAACTTAATTCCTAAATAAAAAAGGGAAGCTGAATTTTAAAAAAAAAAGCCCTTAGAAACTCCATGTGCCCATTACTTCGATGTACATTGAGAGGAAAATGTCCGCTTTTCTTTGTTAAGTCGTGGTTGCACTTTAACTTTGTATGCTCTTTTTTTGATAGGATAGTTTAAAACCCCATTCCCATAGATTTTAGATCGATCTATCCCTGTGGGGAGTCTCACTAGATTACTGTCAGCTAAGCCGGCTTAAGCGTCTGTCCCGCCTACTAAAAGCTGTAAGAGGGTAATTAACTATGGTGCGCGCTCGGCTGACTGCAATTTAGCGTGAACCCTCAGGAAGTTAGGTCGATCTAAATCTTAATCTCTGGATCGATCTAAATCTCTGAGAATGCACCCTAAGTCTTCATTTAGGCCGCCGGCATTCTGAACTTTCCGCGGGATTAATGTTCTTTTACAGCCAAAATCTGGTTATTATTTAAAATGTCATTTATGATACAAATAATCTTTTTGAAAAAAAACACATGAACACATAAACGTACCTGCAAGTGCGCCAGAGGTCGCCACTGTTGCTGACACTGTAAACAATTAACGCGATAAAATAAAAGGTGAAACTTAAACCACTTTTTATATATGCAAGAAACTTCATCACTGTAGAAGAATGGTTTCTTCAGGTCCCTAGAAGTTCTAAGAATCCTAAATGTATATATTTGATATCCAAACGTAAACTGATAGTCTGTAAGAAATTGCTTTACTGTACAACCCAAAAAACAATTTATAAATCTATTTGTTATTCTCCATTGCCTTCCCTGAGTAACATCTATAATCATTGGTCAGAAAGCAAAAGGTACCGTACGCATATGATACTGTAACAAAATGCAAGTGCAGGATGTAGTGCAGGGTGCCTTCCGTATGACGTCACGTCACTCACCGTTATAAACTGACACCTCATCTTCCTCTCCACAGATCTGCGCATCGTCTCCTGCGCATTTGGTTTTACATTTCTTGGTACCGTATTTCTTGTAGTTGACGTCAGCTCGGCCACAGTAGCACGTGTCTCCGTCCTTCAGAGCGGCTAGGACATAACCTTCCTTCTGACAATACTGGATACACCTGATGGGATATAAATATAAGTGCTGTTGATATTTGTAACTGTCCTTAATTAGTCCTATTTCAGCACTAGCGGCGTGTGTGATAAAGGTTCACAGCACCAATCAAGAGTACACATTTTGTTTTCCTTAATTTATTGTACCGTATGTGGATATGTGTTGTCGTGTGGTTGTCTGGCCCGTGATTGGCAACGCTGAAAATCAGGTAAACGTGTTATGATATTTTTATACTAAAAGAGCGCGTTGCGTCTGAAACCACCTGAAAATAGGGCTTGTTACCGTTAGGCAACACTTGATGAACGTTAAAGGCAACAGGCGCACTTGTCACTGTACGTACCATGGGGTATGTACAGGTAACAGATGGTTTGGTCTCATGTCCTATTACTTTTTTTTATCTATATGTATGACTGTAAGTATATTATTTGTGGCGCCGCTGGAAACATTAGTATATTGTCACTTTTTGCTATTTACTTTAATTGTTTGGTTTCAGCGTAATCTTTCAACATCTGAGTGATGTAAAACATTTCTTATGGATAATTTACTGACTTATATGGACAACAATTCAAATTTAACAATTTAAATTTAAAACCATATTTCCTTTTCGCTCAAAATGATGACAAAATAATAATAAATGCACACACACACACACAATGCACCGCACGCACGCACGCACGCACGCACGCACGCACGCACGCACACACACACACACCTACTTTGTAACGGTCATTTTCTCGTCCTCCCACTCTGAGTCTTCTTCAAACATCGTGTCATCGTCGCCTTTGTCTTCATAACAACCAAGATACCCCGGGATACCTGAAATGCCAATTTGTTCTACACTCGGAATGTGTCTTTTGACAGTCTCAGTAACGTTTACGGCGGTGTATGCCAGTCATAGGGCGCCTTCAGAACAATTTGATCCGCGGGGTAACA